CTCCTGGCCTTACCTGTGAAGTCATAGAGCTGCGGTAGAGCATCCATGATGATGCCAATCAGAGGCAAATAGAGCTGAGCCACTTGGGCCCGCACAGCAGGGTCCATGTAGCGGGTGTCAGAGTCATGACTGCACAGCAGGTTGTGTAGAGTACAGATGGCCTTCTTGTGCAGGAAGAAGGCCCTGATGGAGGAAGGGAAAGAGTAGCAATACTACAGAAAGATTTTGAGAACAGAGACGCAAAACAGTGTAGTTTCATTCCTTCCTCCAAGGACAGGAAAAAATGCTGGCCATTGCCCACAGGGCAACAAAGAAGCCCCCAAGTCCTTCCCTCATTCTAGAAGTGAGAAGGCTGATTGCCATAAGGAAGTCATAAAAAAATATCCACACCCCTGCAGGTGGCAGCACCTGGCTGACCCTGTCTGAACCAGGAAGCTGGACAGGGTCTGGCCTGGTTCATCTGTGGGGAACTACCAGGGAAAACCAGGCTCCCACCAGGTTGGGAAATCAGTGGCAAACCACTTCCATGCGGTTGCCAAGAAAACTGTATGCAATTCAGTTGGAAGATTTTATCCTTCAATGGGAACGGCCTCGTGCACCTATGCATGGAGTGCCTCTTTCAGTATTGCTTCACTAATGTTACAAGAAGTTGCTGGCTAAATATAAACTCAGTTCAAGTAAGACGCATGGTTTCCTGGCTTGAAGAACACTGCTCAGCCTCTCCCGGAGAAGCAATCCCTTTGCAGTCTGGAGAGGCTGAGCAGGCCAGCCCTAACCTCAGAGCATAAACAGCCTCTCTGGCAGGAAGTCTCAGTCATAAGCTGTGGGCAGAAGGTGAAGGGGGTCTCCTCTGGGACAGCCTCCCTCAGTTTGTTTTCTATTTCAGTGTTATCTCTTCTCTGTCATTTGCTTTTTTCAGAGATGTACTGCCTCAGACAGAACTTTGATGTGCAGGCAAAGAGATTAAAAAAACACACTCTACTGCAAATCCTCCCCTTGACCAAAGATGGACAGTCTTTTAGTGGCCCAGAGTTGCACTTAAGAGGGAGGGCAAAGTGAAGATCCAAAGTGGGCAGGGCTGTGCCATACACATGGGTGGCATCAGGATTTTCTGTTATTTGTCTTCAGGGTTTCAGGGGAGGGAGTTTGGGAAGGGTATTATTTACGCCAGTGTTTCTCAACTTTGGCAACTTTAAGGTGCATGGACTTCCAACTCTCAGAATTTCCCAGCCAGCATGCTGGGAATTGAAGTCCACACATCTTGAAGTTAGCAAAGTTGAGAAACCCTGGTTTACATTAATTTCCAGTCTCAAGGAGTGGAAGACGATATCTCCCATTTTTGGCTATTGTAGTCAGGGGATTTTGAGGGGCCACATGCAGCCGCAGGACTTCAGTTTTCCCTACTAGATCATACCTACCCCTCAGCATCAGGCTCCAGGATGAGTGCCAGTTCCATCAACACCAAGCCCGCCAGGAAGTGCTGTTGCCGAAAGGCTACAGAGAGCTCAAACATGCTGGCCACTCGCTGGTCCTGGGTGTGGCTGGAGAAAGCTGAACTCTGAAAAAGGAGGCGGCCGATGAAAAGCCAGGCAGAGCTGCATCCTGAGCCATTCCTGCCCTTACAAAGGCAAAACAAAGGGCCACAATCCAAGGGCCCTTTCCCCCATTACAGCAGCTATTATCCATCACTTCTCTCTGACTGACTCAGAGACTCTCCATCTCCCCTCTAGGGACTGTCTGCAATGGCGAATGGGAGGTAGAGGAGAACAGAGAGAAGAGATGAAAGGCTGTGCAAGGGTCAATAAGGAAGAGTAGGTAACTCAGCAGCACACATTCCCCAATAGAGGGAAATGCTTCTTTTCCATCATAGAATAATGTTCTTTTCCCAGGAAAGAATACTCTGCTGTCACTGTTTGTCTTACCCCTGGCAATTCTGCTAATTCCTGCCCTGAGCCTGCGGCCAAATTGTTATTTGCCTCTTTTTATATATCAATACTTTTATATCTTGCCTTTCCTCTAAGAGATTCAGGTAGTGCAAAGGCAATATTTCCCATTTTTCATATATTTCCTGGAAACCTATGGCAAATTTTCCCTGAGCCACCAGTCTTTCTCCCCCACCCCTTACCTCAACAACTATTTTAAACACTGGAAAAATTCAGAGAGGAGGGATCCATCCAAAGCCTGAAACCTGGCAGTTAAACAGAACGTCCACATTCAGGGTGGAAGCTTCTGGAGGTGATGGGAACACAGAAGGGGAGAACCTGATCTTTAACAAGAGGCTCTTGTCTATCATCCTCTTCCTTCATGCTGGTCTGCCTACCTGGGAGGTTGCTGATGAGACGGAGGGAGAAGGGGAAGCAGGAGGGGATAGGCCACTGCAGGGAAGATTCAGGGTGACATAGTGTTCGTGGCTGCAGATGATACGGATGAAGTCCATTCTGAGAGCAATGAGGGCATTGGGATTCTGTGTGGTCAATAGCCAGTTATTGATCTGGAGAACAAGAAGAAAGCCTTGAATTATCCTAGTCTTAGTGTAGCGATGCAGATCCATCTTCCAGGCTCCAGAAACTGTTATCCCAACAACTTTCTTCTGCAGTCCATACTAGATCAGAGCTTTTATAATAAATTAGAAGCTCAAAAATATGTCAGGGCAGGCCGCTCTATCTCTGTCTGCATCCATAAAAGACAGCAAGCAAACCTTTCTGCAGGAAGCAGTAAGGAGGCTGAATTATGTTTGGGGAATGAGAGGGAACCCAGAATGGGATCCAAAATATTCTGTGCAAAAAATGATGCTCTAACTCTGCAATAAGCTATGGGGTAACTTCACAGCCAATTATTTTTAAATATTGAAATTATGACAGTGAACAAGTGCATAGTAAAATGAATTATAGAGACAGTTGGATTTTACATCAGATTCCTAAAGATAACTTTCTGATGTAGCAGAAGGATTCCTCTTCCACTATAAAGATCTCCTATCAGTATCAGCAGTTAGCCTTGGAAAAATCAAAAGTAATGGGAAAAGAGGCCAGAAGACGACAGTTGGGTGGTATATTGGTATCATAAGCATGAACTTAGAAGAACTCAAAGAAGCAGTTACTGAGAGCAAATCCTGGTGAAAGGATGTCTACCAGATCATGAATAAGCAACAGAATGACTGAACAACATCAGCAGCCATTCATACTAAAAGTGTTGAACTATTAATGTTCTATTCTAAGCTTCCTGGTTGCAACTGCCCTCACCCCTGTTTGAGAAGCCAACCCCATTCCTCTATATAAGTATCTCCTGGAGGCACCATTACATCTTTATGTATGTATGTCACTCTAGAATGGGGAGAGAGAGAAAAGAAATAGAGTCAGGAGGAAACAAATTTAATCTTGCCCTGGGAAACCAAAGAGAACCAAAAGTTGTATTTGAAAACAGAACAGAAAGATATACATGGGAACTTGAGCGAAGCAGTTATTCCTGGCTTTTTATTGTACAGAAATCCAGGATTAAGTTTAAAAAATGTAAATTATAAAGCCCTATATGGCTTGGGGATAGGTATCTTAGGGTCTGTCTTTCCCCACAAGTTTCTGCCCATCCTATCTGGACAACTAGGGAGTACCTATGGAGGGTTCCCTCCTACCAGGAGATATTGTGGGAAGGGGCCTAAGGGAGGGCCTTATCTGTAGCAGTTTCTCTCCTCTGGAAAAGATTTGCCTGCTGAAGCATGCATGGCTCCATTCCTGTGGCCTTCTGGAGGGCCTCTGGGGATTAATTGTTATATAGTGGTGCTACTTTTACATGTTGGTAATTTTTAACTTATTTTTAGTCACTTTTTGATTTTTCTGATCTGCATTCTGTTTTTAATATTTGAACTCCATAAGCCACTTAGATCCCAGCTGGTTTCAAGAGGTCAGATACATCTAATAAAAAAATAAAGATAAACTATCAATAAACAAATCCAATTTTTGTCCCAAGAGTCTCAATGCTGCAATTGCAGCCATGTGAAAAGTATCCAATTACATTTACATATTTTTGTCCTGATTTGCAAGACACTGATACTCATGATGTGAAGATCTAGGTCTCTGCAGAATGTTCTAATGCTGGGAAAGGTGGAAGGAAAAAGAAGAGAATTATTAGATGGATGGACTCAGTTACAGTGGTGATGGGTGCACCATTGCAAGACTGGTTAGGGAGAAATCATCATGGAGAAAATCTATGTGGTTGCTTGTTGTTGACATTGATTTGATGGTGCATATTCAATCATACTCATGAATCTGTGCTTCTGTGTTTTTTTTTCTCACCCTTCTGTGAAATGACTAATGAAGAAAAAGGTTGATTAGAAGAAATCATCATATATAGGTTCTAAGAATCTGGAAGAAAGAATTCAGATATTTTGTAGAAATTCATGCTCTCTCAAAGGTACTAGTAAAAATCACAGCCATAGTCTATTTGCTAAGCTTTATGGAGATCATCCAAATAGTTTAAGCCCTCCAATGCAAAAGGATTTCCACAGTCGCCTACCAAAAGAAAACCCAACTAATGTGGCCCCTCCCCAACAGGAAATTGGCAACTCTGGGAAAAAGCACACTGAAATCCCTCTTATTACCTGCTTATAATAGGAACGCAGAAGACCAAAGACAAAGCCACGATCCATGAACGACAGCAGGTCATTGAGAAAAAAGGCCAGGCTAGTGTTGAGATGCTCCACCAGCTCCACTTCCTATGGAAACAGCATCACCATGTATGAATTGCCACTACCCAAGGCTTTTATGGACCTCTGACAGAGTGCAGCAGCAGAGTGCAGAAATTAGAGGTTTTTCACACTGTCCACAACTGATGAGCTGTGGACACAACGGGCAAAATGCAAATGGGGCAAGGCCTACACATTTCAATAAAACTTGAGCCGTATTACACCAATACATTCTATATCTGTGCCATTGGTAAAGTTAAATAGAGACCTGGCCAAGCTTAGAATTTGTGAAGTTTGACATATATCATCCAGTCTTCAACCTTCCCCTTTTAGGAAAAGTTGTTGAGAGGGTGGTAGAAATTCAGCTACAGGATGACCTGAGGAAGCAGATTACCTAGATTGTTTTCAGTTAGGATTCAGGCCTGAGCATGGGGTGGAAACAGTGTTGGTTGCTCTGGTGGACTGTCTTTGTTAGGAGCTAGCCAGGGGTAGTATACCCCTTCTGGTCCTTTTAGTCTCTCAGCAGCTTTCAAGACCATCAACCATGGTATTCTTCTGATCACCGCAAGGTTTGGGAATGCAAAACATTGCTTTGCAGTAGTTTTGCTCTTTCCTTGGTGGGAAGATCCAGTTAGTGGTGATTGGTGAGAAGAGGTTGGCTTGGTGGCACTTGTGAGGTGCTTCAGGATTGGTCCCCTCATGTTTGACATCTACATGAAACTAATGGGACACATCCATTGATTCAGGGTGCATCATCATCATCAGTATGTTGATGATACCCAGCTATACACTGCCAACCTAGGCCATACCAGGGAGGCTGTGGAAGTCTTGACCTGCTGACTGGAACCTGTAGGGGTCTGTATTAGACAAAACAAGTTGAAATTGAACCCAAGCAAGACAAGTTTACTTCAGTATTGTCAATCAGCTCCAGTGTTGTCTCTTAATGGGGGTGGCACTGCCCCTGAGAAAACAGGCCCGTGATTTGGAAGTTACAGCTACTGCCAGGCAATCTTTGCCCAGGTTTGGCTGGTGTGCCAGTACTAGCCTTACCTTGATCTTGTGACAGTGTTCTTGTGACAGTGACATGTGACAGTGACACATGTCCTCATCATTAATAATCGTTAGACTATTCCAATGAGCTTTAATTGGGGCTGTCTTTGAAAACTGCAATTAATACAAAATGGAATAGCTGCCTAGCGATGGGTGTTATTCATGAAAAGCACATTACACATGTCTTTCAGACCCTATATTGGTTACCAATAGGTTTTTGGGTACAATTCAAAGTGTTGATTTTGACCTATGAACCCCTATAGGGTTGGGCACCTAGGTATCTGCAGGACCACCTGCTACTTGAATTAGCCTGCCCAGGCCATTCTTCTCAGAAGCTCCTGGTCATACCCCAGTTCCACGAAGCAAAGAAAACAGAGGCCAGAAGAAGCTATTTTTTCAGTTGCAGCCCCAAACTTGTGGAATTAAGGTTAGAATTAAGCCTTGCCCTCTTTCTTTTTAACACTCTAAAAGCTACTTAAGACTGAACTTTTCCTAAGAGTCTTTCACAAACCTTCTGACAACGGCTGACAATTTCGGCACTGACAGTGTACACTAGAGCTGAGATGTCATCGATAAAGCGGCCAGGGAAGCGCATCTTGCGCGGGGCCTCTAGCTTGTCACATAGGAACAGATGGTGCACCATACTCTTCACCTGCAAGAAGCACAAACCCCTGTCAACAGAGAGCCAGAGTGTGTATGCATCAGCCCAAATAATCCGCCCAGTGGGTTCCAATCTGAACCTCAACCAATCTAGGCTGCCATTCAGGCAGTGACTCCTCCTGGAGTATTGGATTTAGTCTGTGCTTTAGTAAACTATGAGCTGTACTTCCAATAAGGAATCTTATTCAACCACTATCCTGACTACTTTTGTCACTTTCCTTATGGAAGGGTTCTTTCTCTCTCCTTACTGAAAAGTTAGAGATCGTTAACAGGATAGGACATATGGGCAAGGCTTCACTTCAGATCTGAAAAATATGTGATCATGATCAACATGCAAAGGTGGAGCCAATCAAATTCTTTGATTGCCCATCCTCTGCTCCCAAATACAAATGGTGGGACAGTTACTATATCTAAATACCTAGAAGGACAAAATGGTAAATTGGAAATGTTAGTATTGTACAAAACCAAAAATTCTGTATAGATAGCAAAAAGACTGCCTATTAAAAAAAAATTAAGCAAGTGAAGAAAAGTCAGTGTTTCTGACTATAAAGACTGGCGATCTGAACATACCATCAGCTGGAAGAAGAACCAGGCTTGATGCAAAGCAGCCTCCCGCACAGAACTGGTGCTCACCACCCACTGGAGGGCCAATTCTTCATGAAGCAGCTGCAGGCCCAGACAGCAAAAGAGAGTTACGAAGGACAAAGGCCGTGGTAAGCTGTATTGAACAATTCAGAGAAGGCCCTGCAGAATCAGTTTTCTAGCCACCAACTGGTGCTTCTGGAGATCTCAGCAGGGGAGGGGGAGAAGTAAAATACAACAGGAATAAATACAAATATATATTCCTGTTCTTCCATGGATGCTGTTTTCAGACAGAGATTCCTTACTCTATAAAGCAAAAGGCACACTGCAGCTCTTCTGGGTTTTTTGTTCCTAAATAGATTTTCCACAGAAAGACATGATGGAAAAAGTGGTGGGACTAACATAAACATGGGACAGCTACATTGGATGGGTCTGTCTGGACCCCTTGTAAAATTCTGTGAATAAGACTGGCCAGCCATATAATAAAAAGCTTATCTGGAAATGCCCTCTAAATCAAATTTTAGCATTTTGGCACCATGGCTGAACAACTCCCTTTCTCTTCCCAGAAGCTACTGCTAGACCCACAAGAAGTACAGATAGCTATCTGAAAAATGGCTAGAAAATGGACCAGATTTTTGTGGCATTGTTATCCCCAGTCAAAATACATAGGTGCTATCCAACTTATCCATCTTCATGACCTGTCTGATCTACATTCATGGCTAGGTCCCAAATGCTTGGAAACAATGCAGTAAATCCAAATGTTCAGAGAAAGAATATTAAATAACGGGCTGAAATTCCAAGCCCTTGGGACATACATACTAATACTATTGCGTCTACTTGGCATGACTGGCCTACAACTTTGCCTTTTTGAGTTCTCCAAATACTATATCTAGATGTAACAGCACAGTCTATCCTCCACATCAGTTGCACATTTAGAAACAGACATCCTTCCAGAAGTGCTTCCTTCACTGCTAGCTTTTTTAATTGAAATAAGTAGTCCAGATATTGCTTATCCATCAATGAGATAAAAGAAAAACAACTTCGATCACAGCACACCCACTAAAGTAGCCAACGAACTATAGTGATCCTCCCTCTTCAAGCTCCAACTAGGAGCAGCTCCTACTTCAGATAGCCTAAGTCAATCAACCATGAACAGCCCAGTCCACATGTGCTTTCCTGGTAGATTCTGTGGACTCCCAAGTGTAGTTTAGAAGATTGGCTTGAGAGGAAAGTCTGGGGAGTTATGTATCATGTATGGAAAAACCCAAGCAATAGGTCAACAAGGAAGTGGCAAAGGCTATCATGGTCTTCAGTGAGAATGGAAAGGCAGAAATGAAAAATGAAAACAGAAGGACCCAGTAAGTTGAACTACTGTAAGGGATCAGCTTATCACCATTACTAGTGTGGTTTGGTTCCTGCAGTCAGCAGGTTCTGGAGTTTTCCTGACAGAAGCCTGTTATGGAAAGATGAGCATCAGCCAAAGCTGTGCCATTTTTGTAGAGCTTAGGCTGCCCCATTCCATGCCTTCATTCCTATTATACCACATTGTTACAGCACCTCTTTCAGTTCTCAACCAAGTTTCTGGTAAAATGCCTTTTAGCTTAATTCTAAGCCTGTCTCAGAGCAACTTCCTCCCAAGCATGCCTAAGATCAACATTTCAGTCTGTCACGGAGAACATTTCTGGGTTACTGAACAGTCCTTCTCTACCTTTTTGGTTGCTGGTCTCATCGGAGCTGCCGGCACAAAAGTGGAGCCCTCAAGATAGGAGGAGATACGATTAGGTGCTCGCTCTGCAGCCTGTGAGAGGAGGAGCAGCAAGAGAGAAAAAGAGAGGAGATAGTGATGGTGAAGAGGTATTACACAGAATGAAAGAAATGGTGAAGTGATGGTTAAGGAAAAAGAGCCTGACTTCCTTACCTGAGGAGAGGTTGCTCAGAATTTAAAAGCAAGCTATATTTTGCCAGGAAACAGGAAGCTAGAAGAGTTGGGGGACTTACTAACTCTGGAGCTGCTTCAAAGTGATCAAGTAACTCAAAGGATCTTATTCCCAAAATAGGGCAAAAACAGGCAAAGCTGACACTTTCCTTCCTTTCTTTTTCTTTTCATGTATCCCCTTGCTACTTCATGACAACCCTTGCCCAACTCTCTAAGACTGGCCTATCCTAGAATCCTCCACGCATCAGACTCATCTTCCCCATATGCAGAAGTTCTGCTTGTTTATCTACTGTGCTGCAGTCTGGATGACTGGGCAAAGGCATTATAATGGTAGGAACTCCACTTATTTCCACTCCAGTCTGTTTAGCTATCCAGAACTGGGGAAAAGACTAACCCCGGGCTCCAGTCTCTCTTACTGTATGTGCTTGTACCTCCAATCTGAACAGCACAGTCTGCAAGGTGGATGGGATGGGCAGAAGATCAAACCAGTCTGTCTTTGCTTCCTTGCCGGCATTACAAATATGTTAACTATGCCCAGGCTTGGTTTGGATATAAAACTAAAATATGGTTTAGAGTTACACATAACCTTTTTGCTTCTCCAATTCCAATGGCTGTAAAGAAAAGATCAATAGCATTGTTCCTGTTACCGAACAATCACAGGTTAGCATTATATCTGAATTCTAAACACCTGTTAATCTTAATTACAGTTTGAAATAAATTAACTAAACCATGACTTTAAACTGGCTTGTTTCATTGCACCACTGCTGACTGACATAATTTGTCTGGGTTTGGAAATAACCTAAAACTGTGGCAATATTAAAAAATAAAACAAAATTTCCAGTCTCCTCAAGGGCATGACAGAGGAGGAGAGGGGAACTGACAAGCTGAGGGTTCATTCACATCTAAATGGGTTCCAAGTGTCAAAACTATGCTTACACTTGACATTGTTGTGGTAGAGAGCTGTATGCTGTCCAGGAGCAAAAGAAAATGTGTTTTGAGAAATAAAAGTTAGGCAGATAAACACCTGGGAATTATTAACTTGCCAGCCCAGAGGATTTAACTGTACATGCCTGTGAATAAAATCATGACTTGTTTAAAAGTAAATAGTATGAGTAAGAATGAAAAGAGAGTAGAAAACTAGTAAACTGGAAATCATGCAATGACAAAGGAACAGAGTTCAACTGCCTCTGAACTCTGCAGCAGTTCCCAAACATTAATTATTTTCAAAATATTTTCCCAACTCTCTCCCTCTCTTTCAAACACACAGACACACACCAAACCTTCAGAGAGCTTTTTATAAATAGCCAATGTTTGTGCTTGATCCTTAGTTCTAGGCCTGTAGAACCATAGAAAACCAAAAGTTCTGGTCACACAGGATGAAAGACCAGGTGGCACAGCTAAAAAGAAGGAAGCCTGATGAATTCACGGAGCCCTGACTTGAATAATACATGACCAAAAACAGATCTCCAACATTCTGGCCATTGTGGTTTCCAAAGGGAAGCCAGTTCCCTTCAATGCAAGGGGCTTCTTTGGTTTCCCTGTTATGACTTTTCTGGGTTGTTTGTTATTATCTCTTAATTAGTACCTTGCCATGAACCTCAGAAGATCACCCATCAATTTCACCCCTCATCTGCAATACCAGCCAACCTTTACAGATCTGTTAGACAGATTCAAGAAGAAACATATATGAAAAAGTTTGAACAACTCAAAAAATGCAACTTTTGTTATGTACCTCAACTACTGTCCTGCCTAATGAAATCTATAAAATAAGCCAGGTCCTCTAGCAGAACCAGAGGGCTGGCACAAGCTTGCAGGTCTACAGCATGTACACACACACATCTCCAGATACAAATATGCAAATCAATGAAAACACAAGATTGGCATTGCTCACAGAACAAGTATGTTCAAGAAGAGTATTAACTTTTCCTGGAAGGAAGAAGCCCCTGAATGTGAGACAATCCCACTTTCCACCTGCCATATTTAGGATGCTACACACCATAAAGCAGCCTTCACTATGCCGAATAGGAACATGCAAGTTGAAATCCAAAATTATCAGGAAGACAACTGATTGGGGAAGATTGCTACAAGTAACACTAATGCCTGCTTTGCTTAGATCCACTAAAGAATCACAAGAATTAACCGTTTCCTTCCGTGGCTGCAGTGAAATGCTCAGGGAACAAAGTTATTTACCTATCACCAAAGCTAAAAGGGAAAACTGGGGCCAAGCCAACTTGTCTAAACTGGCCCAGAGCAGTGGCCAAGCCAAATGTCTGCCATTTATCTATGACTGCAACTTGAGGGTTGCAGCCCAAACACTTCTACAGTCAGTGTGGAGAGAGGAAAATCTCTGGCTTGACCAAAAATTGCAGGTAAAATTAGGTCCCTCTTACTGGTCAGGTGTGCAGCAGAGGGTAAAGGAAGAAACTGCACAAACCATAATTTATTCCTGATCTTGAAGAACTCGGAAAGCCTGAACTAACCTATAAGTTCCAAGTCCAGGGAACAAAGGATATATGTGGAGTTTTGGGAGTTGGGTGGCATATAAATAAAATAAATATCTTACATAAAAAGAGAACCTTGAAAATTATCTACCCCATGTACACGTCATCCTTCCTCTAAGATGCTCTGGGTAGTACAGAAGGAGTTATGGTTCTTTAATAATCTCCTGTGAGATCAACAAAATAGTGATTGGTCCAAGGCTACTCAGTCACATGTTTTCTCTGAGTGGGGATTTGAATACAAGCTCCCTAGATCCAGTTCAACAATCTCTGGACTGTTGCCATGCTGGCCTGATGACCCCCTGCTTTTTCCTTTGCTGTTTGGCCATTGTGGCCCCCTAGCTTCAGAGCAAGGCTTACAGACAGGTCTAGATGCTCCTCTCCTTGCTATGAGGTACTTCTGGCCAAATGCTTTGCTCTGAAGGACACAACGTCCTGCCAGCTATGAAAGGAAAGTCTGAGGAGGAAGAGACAACCCCTTGCCTACCACTATCTCATAGAGGAGCCAAGAGGGCAGGATTTCTCCAATGTTTAAAGAGACAGCCATTTAGAGAAGTAACAAAACAAATTCATGTTAATGTATTTCTTTCTTTTCGAAACAGGAATGAATATAAATAGGTGGTACAGAACAGCTCACTTACTTGGCAAAAGTAGCTTGCAGAAGCTAATGCACCTCCCTCCAAACCATAAAGATTGCATATCTCTGTTTTAAGGGTTGTCAATGGCAACAGTTAAATGTATAAATTAACAGCTAAGGAGGTTTTATTAGAGCACCACCCAAAGAGATTGTTTTGGCTTTGTTCAGCCACAAACTGCTCAATCCATGAGCCATGGATTAATCCATGAGGTTTAGAGACTGATGCTAGAAAACCAGACAGCTTTCTGCCCGCACTAAGCATATTGTTATCAGCAAGCACAAAGCTAAGTTATCAAGGAAAACCAGCAAAATCTTCCAAAGACCATTACAGACAAGTTCTTTCTCTGACAGTGCCCGGCTCAATGCTTCCAATATAAAAACAGTATGCTCTGTCCCAGCAAGAAAGCCTTGGGTGACCCTGTCATGCCACTGCTCTTGTTTCTAGAAGGCATGCCATGCAACTCTGTATCCTACTAATCTTTCAAAGTGGCAAAGGAAAAGTGGAGAACAATTGAAAGTTCAATCAAGTAAGAAAACTCATCTTCTGTGAAAATGGAGTTGATGGCCAGTGCTGTGCTCAGCAGCCTCCCACTTCAGCCATTTGGAAAGCTTTATTCTCCATCTTAATCTGGCTGCTACTGCAGATGCACTTTGACAAGCCTGCCAAAGGGAGAAGCTACAAGCACAATGGGAGGAGAGGAAAGGCACCTGCTTCAGGTCCGTGCTGGAGTTCTGATGGTTCCTGCGAAGCACAGACTTGGGGCCTCCAGGGGCATAGGCAGAGTTGACCCAAGAGTGAGAGCGGTCGATCCCCTAGGCAATATGTAAAAAAAGAGTGTGAAAGGAAAAATAATCACAATAGATACAATGATCAGGGCAAAAGAACCACATTGACTGCTTCAGAAAAAGCCACAACCACTGTTGCTGTAGTTTGGAAGAGACAAACTTTGACGACAGAGGTGGCTGCAAAGAAAGAGGAGGATTTTTAGCGCTAAGATTCTGTTTAAGCCAGAAACTGCAACAAATCCCAAAAGGGATTCTAGAACTGTCAAGCCATATTTCCTAATAATGTTAGGCATGTTGACATGGGTATCTGGGCACAAGCCTTTCCCAAGTCCCAGAATGCCACTCCATTAGAGAAGCAGAACAAGAACATAAACAGGGCAGAGGTCACCTATAAAGATCACTTATTGTGCCTGTCTGTTCAGACCCACTGCAGTGATGAATGCATCTGAAAAGTAGCACTGAAGTACTTTCAAGAAGTACTCTGTGTTAACTGAAAAACATTTTTTTTAAATGCCAGGGATTGTTCATAATCTGACAGGCCCAACGTACAACTTGCGGAGAGAATTGTTTTTGAATGTAAACGTGCCCAGATTTTATCTGATTTCAGTAGCTGGAACAGAGTGCAGGGTTGTAGTAGTGACTTGAGGAAAGGAACAATGTTCAAGTGTGCAGTATACTTCCATGTTCCATGTTAGACATTCCACATAGTGCTACTAAAGTTTAAAGATCAGCCACATTTTTATTTCCTTGGCCATTTCTGCCTCTCCCTCTCTCTCTTTTGGTAGTCATCTTGCCTGAGAAAACTGTTCTTGAAAACTTGAAAGCTTGCATGTAGTTTGAAAACCCGCAGTCGGCCTAATAAAGTTATTATCTTAATGTAGATTCTTTCCCCCTTCATGGCCAGCATGGCTGCTTGCGTTTTTCAGAAGAGAAGACTCTTGTTGGATTTAGATTTGTTATTTGATCTGCTATTCAGAAGCATGAGCTGCAGGATCAGGCCAGCCTCTATAGTTGTTTTGCACTTCCCTTAGAAATTTGGTAGAAATCAGCATTCTTACCAAGGTTTGGCAGAAAAAAAATAGGACCTTTGAAGCCTTTAAAAAGGCTTAGCACACTATAAATGGCCATAATAAAAAGCCAAAACCAAAAACATAACTCCGTAGGAAAACTCAGGATTTCTCACTTGCATGTCACATCATCCAACTTCTGCTCTGTCAAGTGAGCCCTTCTCCACCCCACCAGTGAGAACACTTGCAGACACTATAGTCCTCATAAACACCTCTCTCCTCAGCAGCCCTCTGACCTTCCAGTGGTGTGGGGCAAGAGTCAAGCATCCAAGATCAACACAGCTGAACTTCAAGATAACCTAAGGAAGAAATCCCAGGAGTTGTAGTCCAACACATTTGGAGGAAAACAGGTTGCAGGAGGTTATTCGAAATCAATTATGTCCAGATTCCATAATAATGACTGATACTCAAAGAGAGATTCTTTCAGATTGTTTTATTAACTCCATTCTATTATTAATTCCATCCAAGTCCAACTTGCAGATTTACGCAGATAAACTTGTGGCAGTCAGTAACTGCCCTGGGCCAAACAGGGCCAACTCTAAGCGCCAGGCAACAGAATAATCTTCCTGTGGTAGTGCAGCCCATGTTTTTCCATCAGATGTGAGATCTGCTTTTCATATAGCACAGACATTGGGCAGAATCAAATTGTTGGTGTGGTTTCACTGTGGATCCCAAATGTTTTAAAGTTGCTACTTGACTTCCAGAGAAACCTTCTGGCACTTTTATGGTTCAGTGGTTGCATTTTTTTGAAACTCTAACTTAAGGCTTTGAAAAGATGGAGAGAATGAAAAAAAGTAAGAAAGATAATTGCATGGAAGACAAATATTGGAATAAGCTCTGTAAACGCTGCTTCCATGGAAAAATAAGACCAGATTATTGTCCAGCAAATCCACAATTATGCAGAGCAACGCACTCTATTTAAAGAAGTGGACCAAGAAAAGTCTTTCTCCAGGCAGCCTAAAGCAAGATTGGAGGAAAATATCTGATCATGTCAAAGACTGTGTCCCAACAGTGGATGGGTTGGTGGAGCCAATGTTGGCATGCCTTTCCCCAAATTTACACAAGTATGCCTACCCCACACAGACACATGCATCCTCATACATACATGCTTCCCAGTCCCATCTCCCCAGGTGATCAACGCAAGTCAGCCGAAACAGGCATTTTCTATACCTTAGCACTAAGAGGAGCTTCTCTCAGTACTGGGGGAGGAAAACATACACTCTCTGAGTAGAATTAACTATTTTCTCCTTTCTCTGTGCTGGGCAGGAGAAATGGAAGGAGAGGAACTTTATGGGGAGGATAAGGAATCCCTCCAGGCCACATTTGATGCAAAAGCCAACAATTCTCCATGTCCAGATTAGAGTGTAGGGGTAGCCTACTCCATGAAACAGTTGTCCAGGCCTTTGTTATAAGCACAGACACTTTGAAAAGTCAGGGAATATAAAGACTGATGGAGAACCTATTTTAGGCATTCTCCTATTAGGTCTACGAATTTTACCTTTCTGTTTTTTTAATCCTTATTTGTGGTAGAAACTGTATTTATTTATTTATACTGCCCATTAATAAGAATTTTCTGGGTAGGGAGCAATCTATTAAAATTGTACAAAAGCAGCAGAAAACCAGCTCTTAGAACAGAAACCTGCATTAAGAACAGTGCAAGCAGTAAGACACAATCACAAGAACACAGCATTAGAGTTGTGAAACACCAAAATGCCTGGTCAGGACCTGGCACTTAAAAGGCCATAATTAGGCACCAGGTTGAGCAGATTGTTTGGTAGCTAAAGAAACTTCCTTCTTCTGGAGAAGAGCCCAGTCAACAGAGCACTGCCCTTGCTCCTTCACTCTCAACGGTACTAACCTTGCTGTTGATAATCTTCTGAACCTCTTCATCTGGGGAAGTTGGTGTGGTGGTCAAGTCAGGATTGCTGTTGCTGATACTTTTGGAACGAGAGAGGTTAAGGCTGACAGGGCGCCCAGTTGCACGGGACAAGGTAGCATACTGGATGGCGCCACTGTGGGGTGGTACTCCAGCCTCTGCAAGAAATACAGAGTAAGGTAAATCAAGAGAGTCAGACAGCCCCACTTTTAGACTGGGAAAGTAACTTCTTCTACCATTTGTGCAGGTGTTTAAAAATGTCTACAGCTCTTCCATGTATAATGGGGCTGTCCATTATCAGATTCTCTTTCATTTAAGCAGAGGAGAATTTGCCATAAATTTGAGGATAATCTCTTTTTCCATTAGTGTGCTCCATCTCCTTCCCTTAAAAAACTCATTGAAGTATTTTTCTATTGCAATGTCACCACTGGAGCTTCTTGACTGTAATTTTGTGTTATAATGTTGAAGTGCAACAAAACTATTACAGGATATTCTCTTCCACTATATGCTGTATGGGTACTCACCCTCCTCCTGCATATAATGAAGCATATCATGCTATTCTCAATATTGGCTGTTCCAGTGGAACATAGGGAGGAGATGGAGAGGCTGGTAAAGCAACCACATTAAAGGTAGACCTCATTTAACAACTGCCCTGTTTAGCGACCATTCAAAGTTATGACAGTGCTGAAAAAAGTAACTTTACAACTGGTCCTCACATTTATGACTGTCACAGCATCCCACAGTCACATGATCACAATTTGCACACTTCATAGCCAGCTTCTGACAACAGAGTCAATGGAGAAACCAGCTGTAAAATCCCAAGTTGCAGTCATGTGATGTTTCACTTAATGACCTGCTGTGATTTGTTTAACAACTGCAGTGGAAGTGACACTGAAAGTCTGGTGTGGTCGCATGATGTTTTGGTTAATGACCGTGTCACTTAACGATGGAGTTGCCAGTCCCAATTGTGGTCCTTAAGTGAGGACTACTTAGTCTTACTTTAGAAGTCTGAGCTTCTAAAATTCTATTTTTAACTTCAAATTGGGAGAGAGTATAAACCCCAAATAGGATCTTCTCTTAAGCAGAAATCAAAAGGATCATCAATCCTTGATCCTTGAAGCCTGATTTGGCAACTCCCTCAGCCTGCTTCTCAGACCACCTTAGAACCACCCACCAGCACCTAAATTGGTCATCACAGGTTTATAATTGTTCAAATAAAGATATCAAGTATAAACAGGTCTTTGTTCTCTGCATACAATCAAAACTGATAGATGGTGCTATCTAATTATTTCATCCTTTTTAACAGAGATATATTAACAATACAAGGAGTAAAGGACTTTTCTGTGAATGTATGGTCCTCATTGAACCCTTGGAATGGCATGGAAAATGGCACACAGCCCACAGGAAGGATGATCAGACACACAGTCCTTTGCTGTCCCATACAAATACCAAGCATTCATGATCCCTGGCAAACCTGGTTCCATCACAGGCAGACGGAAAACATAGAAAATATAAGAGGCCAAAAGATGATTGTGGCCGTGCTGGTCTTGGCTGCTCTCTAAGCTCTTGTGGATCTGGTTCACCATCACAGCAATGGCTTCAAATGCTGCACGACCCAAGTTCACTGGATGAAGCAAGCAAAGAAACGGGGAAAGGTGTGACTAAACAGAATAAGACAAACACTAGGTAGTGGAAGAGAAATTACATACACCAAAAAAAAAAAAAGATGGGCAGTTTGCAGCAAACATCAAAGATGAAATTCTAGCTGATATTAGGAATTCTTAGTATGGTTAGTGTCTACAGTCACCTGTAGAATTTGCTCTTTTTTCCCATCTTCTAATGAAAAAAGAGGGTACTGAATGAAAAAGCAGAAGAGGCTACCCTGAGTTCTGCCTGGGCTACATTTGCATTGAATGTGTTTTTATTAAAATAACAGAGGATGAATGTCATGGGATTAGGGCTTTTCTTCTACTTTGTACTTCTTCTACCTGCAGTTTCTGCCTTCTGAAAACATATTCAACGTAAGGCAAAAAGAAAACAGTTTAAAATTATTGCGTATGATATCTTAGTAAAATAAATTTATGGCAGAAAAATCCACGTATTTTCTATATAAGGGCACTAATAGACTAATAGAAATGTAGCAGAGTGATTGACAGCATTTCTTGCAAACAGCTGAAAAGGCTGGCAGCACCTGCTAGCCACTTCTCCCAAGTAAAGTCATACCAGTCTGCCACTGTTATCCACAGCAACACTATAAAAGGGTGTGTCCCTCTGAGATATAGATCAATACTTTAACCCTCCCTTGTTATGCTGGCATCCAGAGAGGACTCATCTCAATGTGGAAGCCTAAATCCAAAATCTGCAGATTACAACACTACTCTTACTTGTGAAGGCTCATTTTCTTAGCAGATGGAGGGTATCCCAAAAGTGTTCCTTCCATCACGCTCTGTGGGAGTGAGAATTCTTCAAATATTGGGATTTTAGGTTCTCCCACTTGTCCCAGATGACAAGCAAGAAACTTCTTTCAGAGGAAATGGAAAAGAACACAGATGTGGAAAGGAACACTCACCAATCTGCCCTGCAATGACAGGTGGGTATACAATGAGTTGGATCAGCTTGTTGAGGATCTGATGACTGAAGGCCACCAGAGGTTCCAGACTAGCCACTCGTAGGTTGCCCACACTAGATTTCAACTCAGACTCTATGTTGTTCTCTGTTAGGATCACATCTTTGAGTCGAAAGGGAAAGGTGTATTCTTCCAGCACATGTATCAAGGTGAAGAATTTGTCCAAGAATGGATCCTGCCAGAACAAAGAATGACTATGTGCTTATCTATTAAGCTTTAGCATCATTCATCTATATCAATAATGTGATGTGACAGAGATAAAAATACATACCAAATATTAATGTTGGGCAGAGAATTTATCACTCTCCAGATGCTGCTGAACTGTAATGCCCAGACACTCCAGCTATCATGACCAAGAATGAAGGGATTATAGTCTAGTAACATCAGGGGGGAACATGTTCCCCAACCCTACATTAAGGAAGACTAGGATCTGTTCTTAGATCCCTTTATCAAATGTTGATCATTTCTCATTGTAAGAACCTCAGGGACTACCAAATAGCACTGCACAGCCTGCTGCACAGTCACCATTATTTTCCTAAGCTTCAGAAAGATGGCTGTTTCATAAATATGGTCTTTAACACATATTATTTTGTGGTGTTAAGAGTAACCAAGAAAATCCTGTTTTTCTCAATGGGATGCATTTTGCTTAATAGGCTGCCAAAGAAGAAATCTATTACGAATTTGGAAAAATGTTTGGTATGTACTTGCAAAAAGCAGATTAACTCAAACATGGGCTGAGATTTCAGTTTTAGACTTGTAGAGGGCAAAACTAATGCAAAGATCAATGCAAATTCCCAGCTGTCAAACAAGAAGATGACACAACCGAGCCCCTCTTGGTCTTGCCTGGGTAGCATGGAAGATCCACTACTGACTTGCCCTCTCACCTGAGTGTGGACAGAGGAAACTGCCAGAACTTCCACACTGAAGACCCCTTTGTGATTATCCACCCACTTCATGCCAGGCAGCTGCACCTACAGAGAAGCAACCCAGAAAAAACGCATTGTAGACAAAAGGCATAATGAAGTCCTGCCAGTGGAAAATCTAGTGGTCATTGTGAAACAAGCTGCAATCCTGAAGACTGTCCTTATGACTGGTCTGTCCTATCAATACTTGGCACAAATTGGGAGTTAATGTCATCTGTGATCAGGATGCCATAGGTATGTTTCATTCTGCCAAACTCTCTATGAGATAACTATTTTTTTCAAAGGAAAGAAGGTCAGGGGAGCAGCAAGCATGCTTTCTGAATGCAGAAGGTGAGTCTCAGTACCAAATGAAATCAAGCTATGAGAAAAAAAACAGTGGAGACTGTAAACAAACGAAAACAACCTACTGCAGGGGTTCTCAAAGTATGGCCCGCGGGCTGGATACGGCCCGCCAGGGTCATTTATCCGGCCCGCCCGCCTGGTTTGCCGCCGCTGCTGTCTGTCAGCAGCGGAAGTGTCGGGGCTGTGGCGGGGGCTGCAGCCCATAAAACGAGGAGGGGG